TGGTTTCTTATGGGCTTTCAAGTCTTATATTGAAAATTGATCCTGGACTCCAAATTTTTGGTCGTAGGGTAAAACTAAGACCATAGCTGTAATCTGCGATAAAAACTGAGGTGTACCGACTGTTCGCCGGGAGAAAACGCGGCAGCTCGATGGGTTGCCTACGCACTGGCGAGCAGGCGCGGAAGGCGAGAGGGAACTGAAGGGGTGGCAGGGTGGCGGGCCAACAGGCGGAGGCGGTTAAACTGCTTTTCACTTTGAAAATGTTTCATTTAAAAAATAATACAAATAAATAAAATACAGCTTTGTTATTGTCCAAAATTTAGTGAAGGATTACTCCGTTGTCTCCCACGATTTAGTAAAATCGTATTTTTCCTACTCTGCTGGCCAAGTGTCTTCGGACGTCAGTCAGAGCCGAAATGTGGATGCGCCGACAGTTATGCTCTGTATCGTTCCGTCGTTGCCAAGTCGGTAGCGTCAGCGCCCGGGCCCGGTATGAAACTGGTCTCTGGTTCGAATCTCGGCCGGGTGATATTTTTCGCGCTCCGCGGGCCATGACTTTACAGCCGTGCGACACCTGATGTGATGGGCCGTTACACAAAGAGTCGCTGGTTCGAATCTAGTCGACGGAACCCTTTTGCCCCTCTGCCAGCCATATGTTTCGGGGTGTGAGCCACAACGGAAATAAGCTCCACCTATGCAAAAGCCTCATTGGCTCAGTTGGTAGAGCGCGCGCCTGGGATGCGGATGGTTGTCGGTTCGAATACTGACCGAGGCTCATTTTTTCATATTTAGTAGTTTGCGGCGCGGGGACCAAGGGTTTGGACAGAAGAGCAGCCGACATGGGGAGGTGGACTTGACCGCCTCCTCAGCAGCCACCCCCCCCCCTCTCTCTGCCAAAAAAACAACAACAAAATGTTCGCCCCGACCAGGTCTCGACCCCTGGGCCGTGAGTGTCTTGTGCACCACGCCACAGCGCGCTCGCCACTAAGCTGTCGGCTCCACTTGTCAGCAGAGAGTTCAGAACTCGGTCCTGCTTTACGAGTCTTGGTCTCCCGGATTGCACGCGTTTAGATCGGGTCAAGTCCACCTCCTCGACGCGCTGCAGCCCGGGTCGACTCCTGGCCACAAACAAGGAAAATGGGTAGTAAATGAGCCCCCCGGGCGCGAGAAGGTTAGGCTAGCGGAGCGTGCATTTATTTGCCTTTTGGCCAAGATTCCGACCCGGGCTGCAGCGCGTCGAGGAGGTGGACTTGACCCGATCTGAACGCGTGCAATACGGCAGATCAACACCCGTAAAAGAGGACCGAGTTCCGACGTATCTGTCCGCAGAAGCAGGCGATAGCTGAGTGGCGAGCGCGCTGAGCTGTGGTCCGGAAACCGTCGGTTGAGGGATCAAATCCCAGCTGTAGAACTTTTATCCCGCTCGGTTGATCCGATCCCGGCGACATGCGCATCACAACGCTCGCTGACTCCCGACGGGTCAAGTCCACCTCCTCGACGCGCTGCAGCCCGGGTCGACTCCTGGCCAGAAACAAGGAAAATGGCTAGTAAATGAGCCCCCCGAGAAGGTTAGGTTAGGCTAGCGGAGCGTGCATTTATTTGCCTTTTGGCCAAGATTCCGACCCGGGCTGCAGCGCGTCGAGGAGGTTGACTTGACCTGGTCCGAACGCGTGCAATCCGGGAGACCAAGACTCGTAAAGCAGGACCGAGTTCTGAACTCTCCGCTGACAAGTGGAGCCGACAGCCGAGTGGCTAGCGCGCTGGGGTGTGGTCCGGAAACCGTCGGGTCAGCGATCGAATCCCAGCCGCGGTACTTTTTTTCCCGCTCAGTTGATCATGCCGTCGGGAGTTAGTGACCGTCGAGATGCGCATGTCGCCGGGAGCGGATCAACCGAGCGGGAAAAAAGTTCTACAGCTGGGATTCGATCCCTCAACCGACGGTTTCCGGACCACAGCTCAGCGCGCTCGCCACTCAGCTGTCGCCTGCTTCTGCGGATAGACACGTCGGAACTCCGTCCCTTTTTACGGGTGTTGATGTGCCGTATTGCACGCGTTCAGATCGAGTCAAGTCCACCTCCTCGACGCGCTGCAGCCCGGGTCGGAATCTCGGCCAAAAGGCACATAAATGCACGCTCCGCTAGCCTAACCTAACCTTCTCGCGCCCGGGGGGCTCATTTACTAGCCATTTTCCTTGTTTCTGGCCAGGAGTCGACCCGGGCTGCAGCGCGTCGAGGAGGTGGACTTGACCCGATCTGAACG